TATTGCTAAGCATTATTAATATTTTATTATTCCTCCTTTTGTTCCTATTTTTGTTTCCTATATAAACAGTTCTCCATAAATGCTCGGATTATTTGAAGTACTATTGGTCCCTTAAATTCTAAAAAGGCTTCCTTCCACCCACTTTTTGGGGGAAATTTTTGGTAAAAATATATATAAAATATATATTGGTAAAAATATAAGATAAAATTTAGCATTTTAATCATTTTCTATTCATGTAAATGAATTACCACTATTTCTAAAACTTTTTCAACCTTAAACAGAAACTCTTTAACTATTAAACAATAGCTCCCCATTTTTTCTTCCTTCCAGTCCCTCCCTGAGAATGTCTATTTTCTACCTCCATGAATTTTCTAGATACTTCATATGTGGAATCACACAATATTTATCCGTCTTCTTTATTTCACTTACATAATGCCTTCAAAGTTCATCCTTGCTGTAGCATGTGGCAGAACTTGCTTCATTTTTCTGACTGAATACTTTAGTTTATCCATTCATCTGTTGATGTAACTTGATTATTTCCACCTTTTGGCTATTGAAAATAGTGCTGTAATGAACACTGGCATACAAATATCTCTTTGAGTCCCTGTTTCTAATTTTGGGGGGGGGGTTGTATATCCAAAAGAGGAATTGCTGGGCCATATGTTAATTTCATGTTTAGCTTTTTGAGGAAATGCCAAACCTTTTCACAGCGGGTACACCATTTTACATTCCCACTAGCTTCGTGCAAGTGTTCCAATTTCTCCAACATCCTGGTCAACACTTGTTGGTTTACTTTTTAAAACATATCCTAGTAAGTGTGAAGTGGTATTTCATTGTAGTTTTGATTTGCAGTTCCCTAATGACTAATGATGTTGAGGTCTTTCCACATGTGGGTCAGCCATTTGTACATTATCTTTGGAGAGATGTTCATTCAAGATTGTGCCCATTTTTTGAGCTGCCTTTTGATGTTTTGATGAATATATATATATATATATATATATATATATATATATATTCCTAAATCAGTTATGTGTATATATATTCTGAATATTACCCTTACCAGATATATGACTTACAAATATTTCTTCTCATTTTGTAGGTTGCTAGTTTTACTTTCCTGATAATGTTCTGTGATGAACAAAAGTCTTTACTTTTGATGAAGTCCAATTTATTATTCTCTTTTGTTGCTCATGTTTTTGGTGTCATATCTATGAATCCATTACCAAATCCAAGGTCACAAAGATTTATCGCTATTTGTTCTTTTAAAAGTTTTATGGTATTAGCTCTTATTGATTCATTTTGAGTTAATTTTTTTTAATAATATGAGGTAGAAATCCAACTTTATTCCTTTGCATGTGTAAATCTTGCTGTCCCAGCACCTTTTTCTCATTTCCACCTTTAATTTAGATCAAATGTTTGGCAGAATTTTTCAGCTTCCCAAAAGTATTCCTGTTATTGAAAGTATTGAATATTTACCTTCTACAAGTATTGACTTATGAAATTTTCCAGATGGAATTCCTGTTCAGTTAACTGCTATTTCTTAAGAGAAAGGAGAAAAATAATAGAATTGCTTCATTAGAATTAGTAAGTGGATACTCTTTAAAAATTGGGAGTAAACCTTGGAGATTTAATAAAAGGAATAAATTAAAGATCCTTATTAAAATAAGGTGACAACCCAAATTATTAACATATAAAAAAGTTTAGCAATGGCTGGTGTGGCTCAGTGGTTTGAGCACCGGCCTGCCAACTGAATGGTTACCCGTTCGATTCATGGTCAGAGCACATGCCTGGGGTGCGGGCCAGGTCCCCAGCTGGGGTGTGTGAGAGGCAACTAATTGCAGTTTCTCTCACACATCAATGTTTCTCTCCCTCTCTTTCTTCCTCCCTTCCCATGTCTAAAATTAAATAAAATCTTTAAAATATATATATATATGTATAAATTTAGCTAATGACTTCACTGCTTTCAAATGCTTAAAGGGCTATTAAATGTAGATTCCTATTTTCCACCTTCACAGGAACAATGCTAGAGAAAAAAAAATATATATATTTAACTTGCAATTAGGCTTTTCTTTGAAATCAAGAAGAGGTTTTCATGACAAATAAGAAAAATAATAATAATACTTACTGAGCACCTACCATATGTCAGACTCTGTTCTGAGCTCCATGAGATAGGTACTGTTATCACAGATAAACTTGGACCTGAACCCAAGTTCAACACTGTGACCACCCTCATCCACTATGCTAAACCAGCTCTGTTAGAAGTGAATTAACCTTAGAACACGCCCTGCCCTGAGAAAGGCCATTGCGTCTCTATCAGCAGAGAATTCAAAATAGATTGCACATTTATCAGTCAAATGAGATTCATAATCCTGACACACTGGATGGCATCAGTTTTTGGATTCTGTTCAAATACCCACCCCCCACCCCCACTTTTTTAAACTGCTTTTCTTTTAGTAAAACAGCCTGTATCTACTTTACCTTTCTCCTTTCTCTAAAATGCCCAACAGAGTACTTTAAAGTGTTTTGTAACATTACATAAATATCACTTTAGTAATATGAACAAGTGCCCAATGACACATGTCATAGGGAAACATAATACCTTTTATTCTTTTTAATCTTTGGGGCTTTGCTTTAATAATTCACAGAGACATTAACCTTTCAGGTGGATTTGAAAATCCTTTTTATTTAATACAATTCTGTTTGTGTTCTGAAACCAAGGACATTGAAGTATTTATTTTCTATTGAATAGAGAGCAGTGTGTACATGTATCTTTGTTTTCTCTAAAAATAGCTCTTAACCTTCATACATCTCCTCAGGGCTGTACTGTGTGGGCTTGAGAAGTAATGTGATGAGCTCCAACAGGTGTCCTGTTATAACAATATCCCAGTTTTCTTAACCCCCTTGTTCCCCTCACAGCCATTTCCATGATACTCTTTTGGCTGAGTCTATGAAGAAGGTAAGATGTAATTACTTCTGTAATAGGAAACAGGACCTGAAATGGCAAGGTTTGCACCTGAGACATCACAAAGTATATTAATGGCAGACTCGGAGCTCCAACCCACATCTTCTGCTTAAGCAGTTTTCTTTCAGCTGGAGAGATTTCCCCTTATTTCTCCAGGGTACATTTGAAAATGTCTAGAGTCATTGTTGGTTGTCACAAACAGGAGTGGGAGGTGATGATACAAGTGTCTATCTGGTAGTGGCTAGAGATCTGCTAAACACCCTACAATGCACAGGACAGCGGCAACAAAGAATTACCCAGCCCTAAGTGTCAATGGTGCCACTGTCAAGAAATTCTATTTTAAAATAGTGGAATTAGCCTTGGCTGGTGTGGGTCAGTGGATTGAGTGCTGGCCTTGAACCAAAGGGTTGCTGGTTCAATTCTGTCTGGGCACAGGCCTGGGTTGTGGGCCAGGTTCCCGGAAGTGGGCACACGAGAGGCAACCACATTGATGTTTCCTCTTCCCTCTTTCTCCTTCCCTTCCCCACTCCCTAAAAAGAAATAAAATCTTTAAAAAAAATAGTGGAATTCTTTGTGAGGTATGTGATTGTCTGGTCACTGTGTTGTATACCTGTGCAATAATATTGAAGGTGGATTGTGGTTAAAAAAAAAAGTCGCACAGCAGTCTGTCATTTCTACCTAGCCTTCATTTCTTCCTTCCCTGGGGTCGGACTTACATCATGGTCTGATGGTTTTCCAAGCTTCTCCTGGCTTCCTCCCTGCTTTCTTTCACAGGCATTTTTCCCTAAAAAATTTCTCGTACCTTTAACCAAAAATAAAATAATGGAACTTGGATTTGAACCTTGCTCAAAAACACTAAACAGAGAGTGCAAAGCACATACTGAGCCCAACAAACAAAAACCAGGGCCAAGCCCATGAAGTTCAGTTATAAACAAGACAGAACAGAGACTGCCAGGAAGACAATGTCATTGAAATGAAACAGAAGGTTCCCCAGCTTTTTATCGGCTTTTATAGGGGAAAAAAGCAAAAGATATGAGGAAAGTATGAGAGAATTAAGCAGCATTGAGTATGTACTAGGATAAGGGAAGAGATGTTGAGAGTGAAAATAGAAGCGGGAGGCCTGTAATAAAGATTTCAGCAGTGACTTGGAGATAAGTTTAAGAGATAATTAGGAAGAATCAGAAGAACTTGGTGAGCAATTATAGAAGGGCCATGAGAGGAGTCCAGAATGAATATGAGTTTTCTGACTTGGGTGCTTGGGTGTCGGTGATGACACTCAACTACGTAAGGAAATCAAAGGGAAGGGAAAATGGACAGAACAAGAATGGGACGTAGAGCTGAAACCATCATTCTGGGGCAAGAGGAGACTGACCTCTCCCTCTAAACTTGGTAAAAAAGGTAACGTGGGCATGGATGTAAGTAGATCTGGAGGGATGAAGGAGTATGAGTTTGAGAAAGTTTATATTGTAGAACCTCACTTTTCACTACCAAATCGTAGGCAAGCTCAGCTGCTAGCATGGGACACAGAACATGGAAGGAGGTGGGGTCAGTGAATAACCTGAAGGATTGGGGAGGAACATTGACCAATTAGAGAAAGTGAGTAGAGACTACGGCTTTAGGAAGCTGGCATGTGAGGGATACCTCAAGGTATCAGCGTAACCTTGAGATTTACAACCAATTCTTTCTAGATAAGCCATAGAACCCATTCATCCTTTCAGGGACTCAATAAACTAAAGGGTTTTGTTTGAAAGTGGGCAGTGTGTGGGGGATGACCACCAAATTCCCAATTAAACTGGGCATGAGATAAATTACATCTGTGGACTAGCTGTAGCATTCTCCTCGTATGAAAGCAAGCATGTCCAATGGGATTCTTAAAGAGCTGTTATCACCCAGACTTGTAATAATGCAGAAATTTGAGTGTATCTCTCAGAACCCCATAATCAAGTAAGGCAGTAGACACACATGATCAATGGAATAGAAATAGATGAATCATGATGAAATTGTTTTCTTTTGCAGAATCTTGCTTTGAGACTAAGCCATGAGTTGGATGTTCCTCAGAGACCTCCTAAGTGGCGTGAATAAATATTCAACTGGGATTGGGCGGATTTGGCTGGCTGTTGTGCTCATCTTCCGTTTGCTGGTCTACATGGTGGCAGCAGAATATGTATGGAAAGATGAGAAGGAAGAGTTTGAATGCAACATTAGGCACCCCGGTTGTGAAAATATGTGTTTTGACTACTACTTCCCCATTTCCCAGGTCAGACTTTGGGCCTTACAGCTGATCATGGTCTCCATGCCTTCGCTTCTGGTTGCTCTACAGGTAGCCTTTCGTGAGGGCAGAGCAAAAAGGCACAGAAAGAAACTAGATGTTAGCCTGGGAACAATGGGCCTGTGGTACACCTACCTTACCAGCCTCATTGTTAAAATTGGTTTTGAAATTGGCTTCCTGGTTTTATTTTACAAGCTGTATGACGGCTTCAGTGTGCCTCACCTTGTGAAGTGTGAGCTGAAGCCTTGTCCCAACACTACAGACTGCTTCACGTCCAAACCCACCGAGAAAACCATCTTCATCCTCTTCATGGTGATTATCTCCTGCCTGTCCATTGTGTTGAATTTCATTGAAGTGAGCTTTTTGGTTCTCAAGTGCCTTATGGAGTGCTCTCTCCAAAAATACAAGACTCAAGTCGTCAGTGTGTGAGCGCCCCGACCTTAGATTGGTTGAAGGTGGTGAGACAGGGGCCCCTGCACTCCAGATTCGCCATTTGGCCTCTGCCATGAGCACACCCCAGCCAAGAGAAACAAAGCTTCCTTGCGACACACAAGAATGTTAACCTGCATCCCTTCTAAGCCAAAACTTACTAGGCTGGGTTGGAAGACCGAGGGTGTCAGCCTTAATGTAATTTGGGAGGAACTTAAAAAAACTTTCAGGATGTGCTCAGTCATGTACACCAGAGGTCTCATTGTTTTATTGCAGGGTTCATGTGGGTACATGAACTGTGTGTGAATAGTTGATTGCAAATTAGTCTGAAGAAATCCAACTAACAGCATCCTTCTAAGTGCTTAGATCTGTCAAGTGGGAAACATAAAAAGTGACATTTCTGACAAATGTGATGGCCTCCCAGCTGCAACTGAGGTACTGACAATCTTTCCAGAGTGGCAGCCAAGGCTCCACTCACTCAGCGCTACCCAATCTTTGCAGAGACAGACTCTGGTGAGGGTGGGGTGGCAGCTAATCAGGGGCACACAGAACTGTATCCAGTGAGAAGGCCGAGTCCGGGGAAAAGACCACAGAGTCCATGACTCTGCAGTTCATGTGTCATGTGTCCTGGGATGTAAGTGGGTGGGGAAGAGGGAAAAAAGAGCCATCATTTAGTGGCCTCCAAGTTAAATACACATATTATTGGTGGATATCCCACTTAAGCCTGAACTAACAGACATCTGACAAGATCACCCTAGAGCCATGATAGAAGGCAGGTTCTACAGATTTTTATCTGTAGGGGAGTGAGGGAGGACCCAGAGAAAGAACATGCCCATTTAACACTTTTCTTTAACCATAGAACTTTAAAACACTTTGTAAACTTCCATATTATTGGACCATTTTGTAATCAGGAATTCATGTTTCATACAATATGCCAAAGCTTCCTTCAATTTACTAGTGTATCTCCCCTCCCTCTAGAGTATATAACTGTGTACTGTACTGTTACTTTCTTTTTTTAAAAAAATTTCTTTAGATTTAATATTCTAACCTATGTACACTTCTCTAGAGTAAAAATGTGGTAGTTCTGCAGTGTCATTTGGCTGTTATTGATAGCTTTACTTGGCTGCACTGAGTATCATGCTTCTGTGAAAGAAACTTGTTCTGACAAGTTTAGAACAGGATTTGCAATCCTGCTTGGTGAAGATAGCTCAGAAATCATTTTTAAACAAAAACTCAGGGCATAAAAGTGTAATTTTAACTAAAACCAATGATGTCATGTGTTCCATGGCCTGTCCTCTTTAGCGCGTCTCACTCCAACTCATGCATAATGGTCATTTGTGTTATGTAGTCTGCAGATCGTGTCACCAACAGTTCTCATAATCTGTCCTAAAGACTGTGTTCCTTGACCACAGGGAGGAAGGTGAACTGTAACTTTTTCCCTTCCTTCAGCGGGCTGGATCACTGCTAGACTCAGAAGCTTACATCTGCACACTTTACCATTTTACATGAAAACACCTTGCCTTCACAAACGCAGGTGACCATTGAAGGGCTTAAAGGAATGTAATGCACCATATATCCTGTTTGAAACCAAAGTTAATTAGTTGTGGATGTTAACCAAATAGGTCAACATTCCTGTCTACTTAGAGGTGAAGTATCAGATCCGTCTCCTCTCTGGAGATTTAATTTTCCATTAAGAAGGAAAAGAAAAAATGTTGTTCAGGGAAAATATATGTAATTTGTTCATTTTTTAATCTTGAACTTTTTCTCAGAAATTGATGCCTCCCATCAGAGTATATACACACAGAATGACATAGAAATGGTGATGAACCTACTTGTGTACACAGAATAATAGAAAGTTGAAGCAGTGGACTCTAGATTCCTATCTTTCAGTAAAAAAGTCACTGTGCAGCATTTTGGGTCCAGAGGAGAAAAATATTAAGCAATACAATTTCCATGTTTTTGCTATAAAAATGTCTTTCACTAATCATTGATCCCATTACTGAAAGGCATATTAATCATTAGGTCAGCGGGTGCTTTCATTTTTAAAGCATGTATTTCAAAGGAAAGTAACTGCAGTAACCTGAGACTTGACTTTCTGTGAAAGGTGAGCAAATGTGAAAAACCAATCGTTTTAGAGAAGGTTGCCCCTAATTACATTAATTTGATGATGACATTACTACTGATTGTGGCTAAGGTCAAATATCTTGTCTCATTCATCTCTTTGTATCCTTGTATCCCCACAACTTATTGTTTCAGTACTTAGTTCCACCTTTCTTGGAAAAAAAACTTGTGCCCCTCTTGCCTCGTTCATCTTTTGTGTATTAATTTCTCTTCACCTAATAGAATTCTGATTTTGTTGGGGCAGCAATGGGCACAGCTAAAAAGCACATTTCTGAGTCCCCTTTGCATGTTCACGTAATAGTGTAACTACCTTCATATCGAAGCCACCAGATTGATTCATGCTTTGAGAAATGCATGAATCTTTTCACTCCTCCATTCCTTCTGGCCCAAGACCACAGCTACAGCTGCAGTGAACATCTACCAGGAAGGGATTTTGAGGATGAAGATAGACCTTATGGATGACGCAGCAGAAAGCCCCTGGGGCACTGATGCTATTATGAAATTGTATCAGCCCTGAACCACTGAGCTCCATGGTTTTGTTTCGGTTGTTACTTTAGAGAAAAGTTAATTCTAACATGATATAAGTCATTTCCTTGTTAGTCTTTTACTTGTAGCCAAAAACAGTTCCTGACTACATTCATGTTAGTGATTTGTAAGACACAGAAGGCATATCTACTAGAGACAAAAGAAATGACCAGGCTGTTGGAGGACAGAAACAAAACAATGATTAAAAATCTCAGTAGAATTTTGTTCAGATCAAGTCTGGCAAAATGGAACAAGTCATCATTCTACATCGATTTAAAATCAACATAAGACTAGGATTATTAGTTCATGACATAAAACCTTTGAGTTTTAGTTATCCATCATCATAACATGAACAAAATATGAAACTGATAAAAAAAATAATTTAATCCCGTGTTAGTGGACACTTTTGTGTAGACCATAAAGAATGATTCTCACAACGCTTGAAACACAAATAGCTTTCTGTTCTCCAGGTTTCAGACCTAAAACCAATGGCTGAAAAGTCAAAGAGATGATAATTCTTACCTAATATAGAAATGGCCTATGAAACTGAACTGCTCCACAATAAAGTAATTGCTCAATAAAGTACTGAGATCCCTAACACTGAAAGAGATAATCAAGGATACTCTTAGCTGACAGAGGAAAGGGGGTGGGGGAACTGTATGAAAGGTGAAGAGATTAATTAAAGACCATACATATATGCATAACGCAGACACAGACTAGTGTGGTGATGGCCAGAGGGAAGGGGGGTCAGGGCAGGCTGGAGGGGGGCAAAGGGAGAGGAAATGGGGATGTCCCTGACAGTATAAACAATAAAAGGAAAAAATAAAAGAATATTCCTGGAATATATGGGAGGCAGAGCTAGAAGACCTCCAAATTTCCTTTTAACTCTTCAAGGACCTATGGTTTTCACACCTAGAACATATATTGGGTAATAGCAAAATGACACTTTGTATTGGCTATATCACTATATAAAACTGATACCACAGAAAGACCTCTGATTAATAGAGAACCACCTTTAGAAAAAGAAAGTTCATGTACAATAAGCAACAAGACATCTCATTACAACGAACAATTAGGGAAGATCCACAGAACTGGTTATAGTAGGATTTATCTTAAAATTATGACATTATAGTAATACGTAAGGTACTTATTTTGTATGACTTCATTCTCCTTTTCTACACCTTAAGAAATTCTAATTTCATTTCAAGGCTCGGATCAAATGTTTCTACTAGAGAGCAAACTTTTGATGTAAAATAGGCATAAATAATACCTATCTCATTGGTTTGTTGGAGATTAAATGAGATGATCCATGCAAAGCACTGGCATATATAAAGGTTATTTAAAAATGTTGGCTACTGCCCTGGCTGGGCTGGTTAGAGCTCAGTTGGTTGGAGCGTCATCTTGATACACCAAGGTTGCGGGTTTCATCCCCGGTCGCGGATCATACAATTGTCAACCAATGAATGCACAAATAAGTGGAACAACAAATCAGTGTTTCTCTCTCCCTCTCACTCTCTAAAATCAATAAATAAGACAAAAAGAGATATCACATAGTTAAAAAATGTTAGATTTGTAATTCATAATACATGGCTTCATTGTATCACTTATCCCTGTATTGTTTGCTTATACATTTGTATCCCCCTCTAAATTATGAGCACCTTGAATACAGGGAAGAGCCACATCGTTATCATACCTTCAGGGCTCAGCCCACAATAGTTGTTCAGTAACAGTGTATTCATATTCTTACAGCAAAACTATGCTGTACTAACTACAAAGTCATAGTATTCTGAAATTGGAAAAAAATCTTTAACATACTTTCAAATCAGAAGACTACAACTCAGGATGATAAAATGACTTTTTTTAAAAATTCCAAACCTAATCTTCCAGAGATTTCCTATACAAAATTGTTTCAAAGATCTTTGGAATACTGGTATCATGTAACAAATAACTGTGCTACACCTATTTTTTTTTTCTTTAACCTTATTAGACAATTAACTATTAGCTGATTTTGTTGGGGGTGGCAATACGTCCAGCTAAAAATAACCAAGTGTCTTTTGCATGTAGAGGTAGCAGTGTGATTACCTTCTTGTCAAGACAAGATTTTTGACTGGTGCTTTGGAAAAAGCTGAAAGTGTGTGTAAGTCATACAAAGTGGCTCTAGGCTGTTTCCATTATAAACAGTTGTTCAGTCATCCTAACCATGTATCACAGTCATCTCCCAACTTTTAAAACTGTACTTCAGTAACCATTCAGGTAGATTACAAGTATTCATAAATATAAATGACCACCACATATCAACCCACACCCACTGTAAATAAAGTAATTTCTCATTCAATTTCCAGACCTTAGCTATACACGTA